TTTTTTCAGAAAACCTTCATGCTTTTAAACAAAGACATTATTGTGTATGTTAGATATGTTGGAAGCCATACATGGAATAATGCATGTATTGTTGTAGCCTTTCAAAGCAAAGCTTTGATGAATACAAATAATTCTAATGCTATTGTTTCATCTTCAATATTGGCATTAAATTAGTATATAAAGGCAGAAATGGAAATTACTCGAGGTCGCAGAGGCAAATTCATGGCAACAAGTCAAAGCTGAGATGAGAGAGATGAAAGATACCATTTAGGCAATCTGATTATTTCAACAAGAATAATAAGGAACTCTTGGTCCTTTTCCTAATAAAACAAGGACAAATGTGCAGTTCACAGTAAAGTCAGGCCACATTGGATTATTTACAGCACTTTGGTTGGTTGGTTGGGTGAGTCATATCTCATTACGCTTTCCAGTGGGGGTCATTGTGATTTGGAATGGCCCCTGCAACGTCGCCTCCTGTGAGAGGTCATCATAATAATCAGCACAAAACAGACTCTGTCATGTGACTGCTAAACAAGCCTCAGTCCCATCACAGCCACAGAGTGGGGAAAACAGAAACTTTGTGGCTCATTTGGACAAACACCTCCAAGGACATGAGACCTCGTAAATGCCTGCGAAGTATTGCCAAAGATCCCCCATGGAGGCAGAAGAGGAAATTGACTGCTGTGTTTGGATTCATTTCTTCTGCACTCTTCACCACATGCCCCTGATTATTTGCAGCTCTGCCAAGTCAGTTTCTAATTTCTGCGGCCACCAAACTTGCTTTTTCTAGTAATAGAGGGAGCATTTAACACTTTAAACATATCAACCCTTCGAACACAGTATCTGGTCTTCAATGAACCAAAGAAGGTTTATGTCACACTCCTCTTGGTAAATGCTCTGATGTTACTGCCTGCTACATTCTTAAAAAAATAAAAAAATTAATCCAAAAAGGGTGTTTTTTTGCAGCAGCAGCAATGCTATGGAAGAACCATTTGGGTTCCCCAAAGACACTTTCAGTGATCAACCAGTTTTTAAAAGAATAATTTTTATAATAATTTTTTTCCACTAAAAATAACCTTTTGTGGAAAGGAAAGGTTCCATAGTCTTAAAAATAAAGGTTCCAAAAGGGGGTTTTCGCAGCGATGCCATAGAAGAACCATTTTTTGGGGAACCTTTCAGTGAAGAATCTTAAAATATCCTTGTTTGCCTTAGTGTGAAGACATTTTTAATAATCTAAAGAACTTTTTCTGCTATGGAAAGGTTCCATGGATGTTAAAGTTTCTTAATAGAACCACCAATGCCAATGCTACTATGTTTTTAAGAGTGCATGGTTGAAGGTTCTTCATGAACCATAGATGCCAATAACAACCTTCATGAAATGACTCAAGACAGACCTCTTTATGTGCATATCTCAAGCATAACCCCCTTCCTCTCGGTTTTCTCTGCACTGTAACTGCATTGCGGGTACTGTGAGTATTTTTGGTTCTTGCTTGTCATGTTCCTAATTTGTTAGTCACTTTGGATAAAAGCATCCTCTAAATGAAAAAGCAACAATTAAACAAGCTCTCACTGTTTGCATTTATGCACTTAAAATTCAGATTCAAAGAGAATCACTTGAATATATGGAACAAACATCAGATAATAAACCACTGTGAGAAATGACAAATGTCTCCATCTAGTGAATCAAATCATCAGTGCACTTTAAAGAGTGGTTTGTTTGTGTTTTTGTATGTAAAGTATGAGACAGAGAAAGAGATAGATCAACTGGGAGAGAAAGATCATTTTCTAAATCAGTTTTTTCCCCTAGAAAACCAGTTTCTTAAAGGGGTCATATGATGCTATTTTAAAGATCATTATTTTGTGTATTTGGTGTAACAGAATATGTTGACATATTTTAATGTTCAAAAAACACATCATTTTTCAAATACTGTACATTATTGTAGGTCCTCTATGCCCCGCCTCTCTCAAACACGTAGTTCCCTTTCATGGGAACTTCGAACTGCGTCCTCTAGGGGTCGCTATGGGGAACTCCTCGTCGTGACCCGTGTCTGAAGCATACATTTAAAAAACACCAACTCGTTGGCCGGCAACAGCCATGACGTCACTACCAGTGCGACTACAGTATAAATCGGCGCCGGGAGCTACACATCATTCTCTTCTTCGTCTTCATTGACTGTTCTGTTTGAAGCTTGCATTTCCAAGGAAAAAGTAAGAGCTATCTCTGTTTATTATGGCGAGCACTAGTAGAGCATTTAGAAGGTGTGTGCATCCGTGTCATCGCTATTTGACACCAGATGACACACACGATCTATGTGTTGTTTGTTTGGGCGAGGAGCACGCACGCGATGTCCTCAGTACACAAGCCGCGGTTAAGACAGCTGACGTGCTATGATTTCTGACAGGCAGTTCACTCTCCTGTGATGTGACCCTGTACCCCTCACACACACACACACACACACACGACGCGTTACTCTGCGCTGCGCAAAACTCCGCATTTGAACAGTCAATAGCAAATACTTAAACTGATAACAAAACATGCTTACTTAGCTTGTAACACTCCAAAGAGAAAGGAAACTTGAAATCGCATCATATGACCCCTTTAAGAAATATTTTGTTTTACATTTTGATGTGTTTTGAGAAATGTGTATTTTTGTGCCTCTGCTGGTGATAGATGGAATTGCAATTTGTTTGTTTGAGTCAATGAGGTGTATTATGTGTTGTGAGAGCTATCCATATAGCATTTACATTCATCTCAGTGGGAGTTACTCAGCTGGCACAGAACCTACTTGAAAGTAGCTTTCTTGCTGCCATCTTTTTTTAATGAGCACTGAGTTAAACATATTGCGCAGAAGTCATGTCCTTGTGAGTAAATGATACATGGAATGAGAGACACTAGCCTGGCATCAAGACAATCTCCTTTCCTAAAAATAACCCAAGAGGCTGTTCAGGAGAAAAGCAGTTTTGAATTATTCATTTTGGTAAGTGTTCTAGATGCATCCCATCTACACTTCTGCTAGAAGTCGGAAGTATATTGACTATGACCATTTAAAACCGCATAATTAATTTGTAGCATTTTAATTCAGTTAATTTAATTCCGTTTATTAATTGTCCTTGTGAATGTGTACTTTTGATCAATGCTGTATGTGAGTGGTCATTTGCTAAGCTTAATTAGCATTCGTCTACCGCTTCTCGTCGGGACGTAGAGTATCAGAACACAGTATCTAACATAGGCGCGGGAAGTGGGGGTGCTTTTTTTTTTTTTTTTTTTTGGGGGCAACTGTTTAACTGTTGGGAATAAAAAAAAAATCTTTGTTGGCAGAGGCTATTTACACTAACTTCACCCACCAACGTGTGATTGGGATAGTCAACATTACAAAAGACGGTCTTTAATCGTAAGATTCAGTGACGTAGATGGTAAAGCATGTGCCATACTTCGTTTGACGCGATCGACCTGGGTTCAAACATCTGCTTTTTGGCTAACTTTTTTTCTACCATTTCAAATTTCAAATCACATCAGAAAAGCATTTATTTTTAATACAAATGAAGGAAATAATCAAAAAGTTGAAAATAAAGTATCGGGTAGGGTTAGGTGTAGGGAGGGCTTTTGTCCCAATAAGTTGGCATCCATTTAATAATTTGAATTAAAATTTACACTCAATAAGTTATTATTGCACACTGTTTTATAATGTATTACAATGCTGGGGTGCAGATAATTGACACTATTTGCAATAAGTAATTAGCAGAATATCCTGCTATTTTAACTATCTATAGCTATTTGCACTTAGTGTAAATAGCATATCACTAAAAAATACTGCTATTTTCACTTAGTGTAAAAAGCATCTATCGCTAAGAAATATGCTATATAAAAAATTTGCCCCATATATTTATACCCCCCCTCCGGCGCGCGTACAGCACCCCCAACCCAAAACATCTTCCCAAATTAATTCTCCCATTTTATTGATGTATGTTATCTGTCAATTTGCATGCACATTTTATCAAATTCAGCAGTTTTTGAATGATTGGGATAAACCAGCAAATAAAATCTGATGAAAATATTGTTATATTGCATTTTAGAGTGAACTACACCTTTATGTCATCATTTATTTTGAGCTATTTTGAAGAAATATATATGTTGTTATGTTAAAGTTGGTGAGCTTCAGTGTTGTTTTTGGCCTTATTGACTTTCGTTGTATGGACCAAAAGCAGTTTTATTTTCTGCTTACTCAGAATTTTTGTCCTGACCATAATCGCATTGTAATCACTTTCAAGCAGTAAGTGAGACTGCAATTAACATTGACTTATATAATATCCAAAAGCAGCAACCGGCTTTAATCTGTATAGTCACTTTGTGACATTTATGATCAGGTTAGTGCAACCTATCGTTCCTCCTAAATCTGATTTATCCGAAAGAAGAGAGAAAAACAAAATACCCTGATGATTTCTCCAAGCTGATTGGATCAAAGCGGCCTCTCTCCATGATGAATGACCACTTAAGTGAAATATTTTAATTAGCAATGGCCATAAATAAATTCTGCTTTACAGGGCAAAACCGTGGCAGGAAATTAAGTGATTTTTTTAATCTGTGAAACTTTGGAATCCAGCCATTAATTTATCAACAGGGCATGTGCTATAGATGGAGCTGGAATATATCAATCACTCCAGCCTGTCTGTGGCTTATGGCCAGGGTGTTTGTTAAGGGGACGGACGATAGAGCTGGTTCTGCTGAAAGCCGCTGCTTTAGTATTCAATTCCAATATTTGTCTAGTTGTAATTCTTGCATAAAAATCCTTACCCTGAGCTGTAAAATTAAAGTAATAGTTCACCCCAAGATGGAAAATTTGCTGAAAAACTACCCTATATATGATATTTCAAAGCATGAAAAAAGAAATCATTACTAACACTTTTAATTTATGTTCATGTTTACAGTTGATGAAAAAGAAGCTTTCAATAACGAATTACACGATTTATGGTCTGCCCCATCTTTTTCCTTGTTTTTGTAGAGGATAAGAGTCCATGCCATCTGGAGGATGAGCCGGGGCCGTGTCGAGGACTGGTGCCTCGTTATTATTTTGATAACAAGAGCAAGGAATGCAAGCGATTCTTTTACGGCGGCTGCTTTGGGAATGCCAACAACTTCAAGACTATAAAAGAATGCCATGAGAGATGTCTACGTATGTACCAGCAACATAACATTTCTCTTCTCTGCAATTTTCAATAATGACATTGTTTTTGTACAAACCCTGTGATTAAAGTCATCTGCATGACAAAGGTTACAGCCCTTTTGTATTCTGATCTCAATAACCTTCATTCCATAGTGCAATTAGCACTTTTAATTCAGCCTATTGTAATTCAGTCCAAATTCTGTTTTTTAGCAGTAATTTGAACAGCCAGAGTCAGTGCAGAAGATTTCTGAGTGCATTTAGTGCTAAAGGGGTCATATCATTAGGAATCAAATTATCCTTGAAGGATAAGGCAGTTAAAACTATACTGGACCCAACAGCAAACAGACAAGCTTGTATGTGTTAGAGCAGCACTGTATCCAATTTCACATGTGAAGAGGGCATTTACACAGATGTCTTAAAAGGACAGCAGCCTGTTAAAGGTCAGAGAGAAGGTGAAAACAACAAAAAAAAAATTGGCAAACAAAAAACCCTTGACTAAAACTATAGTTGTAGATGACTATTCCACATACAGTACCAAAGATGCTACAGACATATATAGGCCTATTAAAATTAGTTATAAAATTGCATAAAGATGATTGTAAAATTATATAATTAGTTTTTCTTAAAAATTTCACATTTAATTACTTGCTGTTTCTTTGTAACTGTTTGTGAAATTTACTTGCGGCTGCTGAGTGAAAATTGTTTCTACACTATTTTTTAAAGATTGAAATTAATGACTTCTAAACTAAAATGAAATACACAAAAATATAGCCAAAATTAAAAGTCATGTCAAATGTAATATACATTAAAAGAAGTGCAAATAATGTTTAAATGGTGTCAAGTGCTAAATAGTTACTTGTTTTTAAGCATATGTTTGAATACATTAGTATTTAGCGTGACCATATGTCCTCTTTTTCATGGACATGTCTTGGCTGGTATTTCTAGATTGCCTAGGTTTTTATATCGATGTGCTCTCTACCATCCTCATACATTATATGTACACAAATTTGCATAGCTTTGACCGTTCCCTGCAGATCCCACCTTATCACACATGCTATCGGTCAAACTACATTTTAGGCAATTTAGAAATCCCAGCCAGGACATGACTGGGAAAAAAGGGGGTTGACAGACAGGAAACATGTTAATAGTACTAATAGTGCTACCTGAGAGAAAATGACTCTCCTGTAACAACAGGACAACAAAGATTATCTCATTTTTCATTTTCTTTCCTCTTTTTAGCTGCCTCAAACCACATGGAACAAAATGCTCCATTAAAGCCAGAGGAAGAAGAAGCCAAACCCAAAACAGAACCTCTCATCAAACATGGTGAGATGAGTCACACATCCTGCTTGTTGATAATATCAGAAAACCTTTTTATTTGTGCTGGATATTTTTGCAGTGATCTGTAGGTGTGACCTAAGGTGTGCTAAGCTATTTTGTTTGTTTTGGATTTTTGTTGGACCTTTAAACACGTGCAGAATCACACAAAAACAATTGTTTTATGGAAATACCATTAATACCTTTTATATGAATTATAATTTTTGTTTGTGTATTTGGTCATTTTTAGTTGAAGCTCCTTTGAATGCATCACATTTGCCAATGCAGAGAATGTCCCAACCATCTGCACAGGAACCAGGTGAGAGTCACACATCTCACACACGTGTACAAACACACACACACACACACACACACACACACACAGGCAGAGGGTTCTAGACAGCTGTGCCTTCGTGTCAGACATTCTGTTTTTCTGAGTCCAGAGGGCAGCGTAGCAGCCATTTTTCCTGCCTCCTCCTGCTTATTTTGACAGTTAAGAGCTGCTCTCTGCTCCACAGCCCCAGGGCACATGACATCCTTGTCTGGCACACAGATTGCACAGAAATCCGAGTCAAATATGTGATTTTGTAATAATATATAATACATAAAAAACTGAATATCAGCTTTTGTAATTGCAAGTATATTTTGTTGTGTTAAATGACCCCTTCTTCATTCTAATTGGATTTTATCTATGTTTTTATTGTTTGACTGTTTTATGGTTTGTCTTGCTTGTTTGATGTTTTAACTAGTGCTGTCAAACGATTAAGTGCATCCAAAATAAACGTTTTTTGTTTACATAATATATGTGTGTGCACTGTGTATATTTATTATGTATATATAAATACACACACACACACATATTATATACTTTTCAAATATTTACATATATTTATATTTATATTATTTATATTACAGATAAATATATTTAATATATAAACATATTTGTTTTAAATATATACATGTATGTGTGTGTATTTATATAGACATAATAAATATACACAGTACACACACATATATTATGTCAACAAAAACTTTTATTCTGGATGCGATTAATCGTTTGACAGCACTCATTTTAACTCTTTGATTTTGTTCAGCACTTTGGCCAGCTTTGCTGAGATAAATGCTATATAAATACACTTTAATTACTTACTTGGGATTTGGGCTCTTGAGGGGAATTGCAAACATGGTATTTACATGGTTATCATGTATTAATGAGAGCTACATATTACACATTTGCCTGCCCTCTTCTTGCCTTAATCACAGTAGGTAATGAAGTATAGTAAGTGATGTTCACCATCATGTCAGCGTTCTGTTTTACTAATTTATCATTGGCAATTTACTTTCTGGGTTAAAAGTAACTGCAAATTAATTACAATAATTGCTTTTGGGTTAAAAGGGTGACTTGGATGCACAAAAGCTCTGTGGTTCCACTGAAGGACAATGCTTAGATTTTACTGCCATCTAGTGGATCAAATATGTAAAGTCAAGTTGAGTTTGTCATTCCAGCTAGAATGAATAGAGTGCTGCAATGATAATGTATTTTTATAGGCCAACCCAGAAGTTAGCATCAACCTGGTTTCTAAACATAAGCTATAAATGAACCACAGTGACTTCAATCTCAGCATCACTACTCTTCTGACAACTTCTTCATAAAAATTTTTTTAAAAATCCCTGAAATTGAGTTAGAATAGTTTGCAAGATCATGATTATAATTATAAACACAATGAGGCTGTAAAAGCAGATGGGCGATGAACCAGATGTGCTAAAATGCTAAGTCATTTCCGAGCTTGGCCCACAAAAATATGTCATCCCTGCAGCAGTCTGGTGTTATTCCAGCTAGAACAGCATAAAAGTAATCTTAAACTAATATAAAATGACATTGATGTAGCCATTTGGATCATATTTTAAACAACATCAAAGAAAAATAATCATAAAGTGTAACACTTTACCTTTTCACATCCTATACAGTGCAATAAAATATGCTGAACAAACAATAAATAAGAAATGATAGGGATTAGATGTGATGTATAAATATAATATGTACATACATACTGTACATTGCAATACAATTACAGTAATTGGTACTTGGTCGCAAAGAGACATGAAAAGTGGCTAGTTAATTGTTTAATTGTGTAGCAGAAATGCAGGGCAAACATTAAAAAAATATATAATTGTTTTTATATATTATAGCTACTTGTAATCATGTATCTGTACTGTTTTATATGCAATATATATATATATATATATATATATATAAAATTTATTATGTATTATTATGTAATATATCTTTTTGTCTCAGATAAACATGTTTGAATGTATATAAAGTGTTTTTTTATGCTACTAATATTGCCAACATATTGTTATCGCATTAAAACAATCTTACACTCTATATTGTTTTATGGGGAAGAAAGGACAAGTTTATGCACCGAAATACTCATTACATCTCATTACAAAATACTTGGATCATTTTTTTAGCTGCTGCTGATATTGCCGACCTATTGCTATTGTATTTCAGAGTTCAATCCCCCAGAATTCTGCTTGAGTCCAGTTGATAGGGGCGATTGTGATGGCTCTGTGAGGAGATACGTTTACAACCCCAGGACTGAGAGATGCCAGATGTTTCGTTACAGTGGCTGTGGAGGCAACAAAAACAACTTTGTCCACAAGAGACACTGCATGAAAATGTGCATGAAAGGTGTGTTTTCTGCAGCCCTTGCTTACTTCAGAGGGTTTGATATTATAATTGAGGAGAACTGCGCAGTTTAGTGTCAATAATGATGATGCATGCTCAAACATACAACTTGGGTTCCATTAGGCTACACCACAAGAAAAGTGAAGCAGGAACATGTGTGTCTGTTGTTGATTCTGAATGTTCAATGTTTTCTCTTTCAGATCACAGCCGGAGGAAGCAAATACGGATAAAGACGAAGAACTCAAATATCTTATTCCGATCTGTCTAGGAGGACATGTACAGTATTCTTCATGATACCAAATCCTAAACCACTCTTTAGAGAGGAAATTAGAGAAAATAAGAAACAGCAGCATATAGTACCTCTTTGACCCACACACTGTTCTCATGTATATAATTATCACAGTTAATGGATTTTAATCTGGGCTTCATATATAATGGCATTCTATGTATTTTAAATGTAAAACATAATCTTACACTCTATATTGTTTTATGGGGAAGAAATTACAAATTTATGTACTAAAATACTCATTACATTTCATTAAAAATTACTCATATATATATATATATATATATAATTTTTTTTTTTCTTTCTTTTTTTCACAGTGCCACTTGTGGATCTATTTAACACTATTTATGGCTGTTATTAATATTTGCTGAAGTTTCTAAATCCTTTCTTTTCCTTTATTTTTTTGTACAAATTGTCAAACCTACTAATTCTTAATCTTTTTAATGTTAAATCTTTAATATGTTTATACAGTACACTCCAAAATGTTTTTTTTTTATGTCCTCGCACTGTGACCTTGACTCTTGTCATTGTTTGTATGTAATGACTAGAGGCAAATAATGTTTTTTTAATCCAGGACACAGTGATTGAAAGTTGAGTCTAACATGAATAATAATATAAAATGTGACCAACAGATCATCACTAAGAGAACCACTTACCCCTATATGACTGACTTAAATTACCAATAGAGCAGCGATTCCATTGTGAAAGTTATTGTAGGACTTCTTGATGGTTTGAAAAAAGAAAGTGCATAAAACTGCTTACAACACAAGATGGAGCTGTTACTCTTAAAAGACATTTTGAAATCCACTACTAGTGGCTAAAATGCCTTTATATGCACTCCTAATAAACAATTGTATTCGAATAAACTTTCTGTGGTTTCATTACGATTGTAATTAATTATGTTATTAACATTAAAATCTGCTGGAGTTTTTCTGCCCCAATTTACATTAGGTGACTTTAACATTTACGTTCTTAATTTTTATGCGCTTAAAATGTAAAGCATTTGATATAGTGTTTTTATTGTGTATGTACTGTTTTGTTAAACTGACATAAGATGGGGGTCATCCTACCCCGAGGGTCTAACTTTTCACTTCAAAACAAGAATGTTGTTTATACCCCACAAATCTAAAGTAATTAATGTGTAATTACAAATATCCACCTAAAATGCAACATAAAATGTACAATAAGAAGAAAAAATCATAATATAAGCTTAAAAATACATTTTAAAATATATAGGCATCGTTAGATTGTGTGTGTGTGTATATATTTTGCGATATATATATATACATCTTCCTGAGAACCAGAAATAGAAAGATTTGTGAATTTAGTATTCTTTCATGTCATTACATTGTTTAGAGCATAAGAAAAAAATGGTAAAATAAAATTTTTGAAAAATTATATTTTATTCATAAGTTATGCTATGTCCTCTGTAGAGGACACAAGGACTCAGTTTTTCTAAAAATAAAATGACAAGAATAGACATGAAAAGGCAAAAACAATGGGAATTTTTTTTAAATCACCTATCAATTTTTAGGTTTCAGGATTTTTTTATAACTAACTTTAAGGATGGTTCTCAACTATGTTATACAATACATAACAAAATGATTTGATATACCATTTTTCTTTATGCAATATGTGTGTAAAGATTCCATAAACTGATTTTCCCATTAAGCACAATGTTATCTATACACTGTATCTAATTTGCATATTAAAGTGCTGTTGGGACAGCATGTTGAAAAAAATAAGTCTAATAATGGGAGTAGTAATTGGCCAGATTTTCACTTTTCCTTTATTTTTTTGTACAAATTGTCAAACCTACTAATTCTTAATCTTTTTAATGTTAAATCTTTAATATGTTTATACAGTACACTCCAAAATGTTTTTTTTTTATGTCCTCGCACTGTGACCTTGACTCTTGTCATTGTTTGTATGTAATGACTAGAGGCAAATAATGTTTTTTTAATCCAGGACACAGTGATTGAAAGTTGAGTCTAACATAAAAAATAATATAAAATGTGACCAACAGATCATCACTAAGAGAACCACTTACCCCTATATGACTGACTTAAATTACCAATAGAGCAGCGATTCCATTGTGAAAGTTATTGTAGGACTTCTTGATGGTTTGAAAAAAGAAAGTGCATAAAACTGCTTACAACACAAGATGGAGCTGTTACTCTTAAAAGACATTTTGAAATCCACTACTAGTGGCTAAAATGCCTTTATATGCACTCCTAATAAACAATTGTATTCGAATAAACTTTCTGTGGTTTCATTACGATTGTAATTAATTATGTTATTAACATTAAAATCTGCTGGAGTTTTTCTGCCCCAATTTACATTAGGTGACTTTAACATTTACGTTCTTAATTTTTATGCGCTTAAAATGTAAAGCATTTGATATAGTGTTTTTATTGTGTATGTACTGTTTTGTTAAACTGACATAAGATGGGGGTCATCCTACCCCGAGGGTCTAACTTTTCACTTCAAAACAAGAATGTTGTTTATACCCCACAAATCTAAAGTAATTAATGTGTAATTACAAATATCCACCTAAAATGCAACATAAAATGTACAATAAGAAGAAAAAATCATAATATAAGCTTAAAAATACATTTTAAAATATATAGGCATCGTTAGATTGTGTGTGTGTGTATATATTGATCTTAAAATTTCAAATGTAACACTTCAATTATGGTGTATAATGCATGGGCAGTTTGTGCTATTGGCATAAATAATACCTTAAATCATGCAGCTATCATAGTCCAACGTGAGCAGACACCTACTGTACAGAAGCAATGTAACCACCCAGAAATCCCCAGTAATGGCACAGAAGCATGGTAAAACCACCCAGAACACCTTAGCAAAGGCATAGAGAAGCTCTGTCAACCAACAATAACATCCTAGAATCATGGCAGTGAATTTTGGACGAACAAGCACTCTAATATCGCTTATTTTCATAATCAGACCTATACATAGTGCTGAGGTATGAACAATTTGTGCTATGGATTCAGCTCCGTCGGTTGCCAAATTAAAAGGTTAGTGACCGTTCATCTCTAGGGAATGCTAGCTGGCAAAGAGACCTAAAGAAAGAGGATTTGTTACTTAGAGCACGAAAAGCCAATTAATCCTCACACAGAATATGTTAAAGAGCATAGATTATGTTTTTAAAAGGGAATCAATTATTTAGCCTCGCCGTTTGAGAGCCTTTTATGTGGATCTCAATGCAGAGCCCCAAAGCATGCATGTGTTTGTCAGGGTTGAGTGCAGCTTTCAAGGAGGATTTAATGTCAGTGGAACAAAGCTGTGTTCCTGGCCTGGCGACATTGCAGTCAGTTACTGTGCCATTACCATGGTTCACCCCTTACCTCCGTCACGGAAACGTGGAGAGCAGACAGTAAACCATGCCAGAATGTTTTACTGCAAATATAGCTATCACAGTCTAGTCCTCAGTGTAAAAGCCTGCTCTTGAGCAATATACTTTACAGTCCCACTGGTTGGATTAGTAGAATTTGTGTACACTGGTCATAATTAGATGCATGTGAGCTCAAAACACCCCATAGCATTTGCAAAGTAAATGTTTTCTCTATCTCCACCGCAAGACAGGCCATGATATGTCTTGCATTTTTCATTAGCAGCAATGTCAGAGTACATAATTAGATGCTTTGAATTAATGCAAAAAAAAAATTATAATAAAGATTTATTACAGTCAGGGATTCGGTGTCTTGTTCCATGCATTAAACTGGAGTCAGGCTAATAGGACCATTTCATTTCCTCTCTCCAGATACATTAGGTTTTATGTGCGTTGAAGTGCGGCAAGCCTTTTATCGCAACCCGCTATCTAGCTGTTATTTCTATCACATCTAGTTCATTCACTAGTCAGTATTATCACATTGCATTAAACACAAAATCACAAAATCATAAATGTTTTATTTCTAACGGTCATTGAGATACTTGGTAAATAATTATTGCTCTAGGTATAACCTTATGAAATATCTCTGTCTGCTGTATACAGTATAAGTAGTCTGACCCAATATGCTGCTTCATATTTTTGTGGAAACCGTGATACACTACCATTCAAAAGTTGGGGGTAATCCAGGGATCCTCAAATCTGACTCGCAAGATCCACTTTCCTGCAGAGTTTAGCTCCAACCCTGATCAAACTCACCTACCTGTGATTTTCTAGTGGTCCTGAAGACATTGATTAGCATGCTCAGGTGTGTTTGATTAGGGTTAGAGCTAAACTCTGCAGGAAAGTGGATCTTGTGAGCCAGATTTGAGGATACCTGGGGGAATTTAAAAAAAAAATGTATTCAGCAGAATTGATCAAAAGTGATAAAATATTTCCTGTTTGAACATTCTATTCATAAATGATTGTAGAAAGAAAATATATCAGGGTTTCCACAAAAATATTAAGCAGCAAGAACTGTATTTAACATTGATAATAAGAACTGTTATTAATAATTAAGCACCAAATTTGTATATTAGAATGATTTCTAAAGGATCATGTGAAACTGAAGACTAAAGTAATAACTTCTGAAAGTTTAGCTTTGCCATCATAATAATAGATATTTTAAAGGGGTCATATGATGCTGCTAAAAATAACATTATTTTGTGTATTTGGTGTAATGAAATGTGTTTATGCGGTTTAAGGTTCAAAAAACACAATAATCAGAGGAGAAACACGTTGTTTCTCCTCTATGCCCCGCCTTTCTGAAACGCGTCGATTTTTACAAAGCTCATCGTTCTAAAAAAGCGAGGTGAATAGAAAATTTTTAAATCATATTTTACAGTATTACTGATTTTACTGTATTTCTGATCAAATAAATGTACACTTGGTGAGCAGACACCTTTAAAAAAAATCCTAATTATTAACAACTTTTGATCAGTGTCTATATATTGACGACATAACACATTTCCCAAGTCTTTTTTTTAGCGATTTTGAGGTCAATATTGTGTACAATAAATGTTCTGCCATTTCGTACAATTTTATTTGGTATCATAAAATATTTAAAGTGAGGTACACTGGGAAACTACACTG